AAACAGCTTCTGCTGTGATTTTGGGGGTCAGAAAGGATCCGGTTTAACTCTTGGTCGAAGTAGCCCCGCTTGTAAGCCACCTCCACAGGGATTCGATGGTTGTGCACGGGGTCAATGATGCCTCCGGTGGCGATCTGGGCCTCCAGCAGGCGGATGCCGTGGTCTTTGACTATCAGGTCTCTCTCCATGGCCTGGAAGAGGGAGATCTTGTTGCCCGTGTAGGGGTCAGTGTAGCCGGTCACTGCTCTCTCTGCAGAGAGCAGCTTCCCGTAATAATCTCCACCTGTCAGCCCAGCAGCGAGTGCGTCTCTCACTGGCACCTTCTTGTTCCTCACTGGGTCGATGATGAACCCCATGGCAGCCTGCGCCTCCAGCAGCACCAGCGCGGTGCCCGGCGTGAGAACACCTCTCATCATGGCCTGGTAGAGGCCCATCTTCTCCTTGCTGGACTGAACAAGGACTCCAGCGATGGCATTAATCCCTCCCGGACCCATTTCTCCATAGGCAGTCGCTGCCTGCCAGCTCTCCATCTGTCTGCCTAGTTGCTCAGGATTCACCGTTTGGGAAGTTGTCCCCTCACGCTTTGCTGCTTCTGTGGTGGGCAGATCTTCTCCTATCTCCTGGGGCAGCGCGCAGCTCTGCAGGGAGAGAGAAGGCTCCGTGAGACACGGGCATTCGTACAAAGTGGAGAAGAGAAATATCTGCCCAGACCTGACAGCAAACGTTCGGATAGAGACAGGGAGCCGCGCACTGCTGCCCCTGCTGTTATCAGCTTTCTCTGAAAAACATGCAGTGGCCAAACCCTCATCCCCCGCCAGTGCTTTCTGCAGGAGTGTCGCTTGGGAACGCCTGCCTCTGGGCTCCTCGGACGATGGGACACAGCCAGGCTCAGGCAGGTTTATTACCCGCCCTGTGGCCGACATCGTCTCGATATTTCACCAAAGGGGGCATGTGGGGTTCCTGTCAAAAGCTAAGAATTGGCTGATTGTTGTGGTTATTGCGAGGTGTTTGTAGGGGAAACAGTTTTAGAGCTCTGTAACGTGTAGAGTATCATGTTCTAAATGTGTTGGGAGAGACGACGCCTATCTCACCGGAGGAGGGGAAGTCTGAGAGCTCACCCAATCAGGGTCAGAACAATGGATGTCCCTTGACTGAGCCAGTTTGTGTTTCCAGCCTGGGCCACATGCAGGCTTCCTCCAATAAATGTCTCTGCCCCAGGGACCTCTGGGTTGTTGTGGGACAATAGTCTGTAAGCAAGAGAACTGGATACTCCTGGGGAAATTCTGCGCCCAAAAATTAAAAATTGCGTGCATAATATTTTAAAATTCTGCAAATTTTATTTGTCAAAATAACACTGTATAGTCATGCCAGTTTCAATTATTTTGGTCATTTATTTCAAAATACCCGTCAGCAAGTATGTCTGTAACAATACAGAGACAAAAATTTCCCCAGGAGTAGAGATTACAGAAACTCCTACAACAACCCAATTCCTGCTTCTCTGCCCCCTACCCCAGAGCCCAGCTTGGCACCCCCAGACCAGACACTCTCTCACCTCCCCCACCCCTGAGCCCAGCTGGGAGGGGCCAGACACTCTCACCTCTGCCCCCCCCCCAGAGCCCAGACACTCACATCTCCAACCCCCTCCCCAGAGCCCCAGCTCGTGCCCCCCCCCCCCAGCCCAGACACTCACACCACCTCCCCCCCAGAGCCCAGCCAGGGGGCCAGACACTCACAGCCCCCCCTTGAGCCCAGCCATGCCCCCCCCCAGCCCAGACACTCACACCCCCTCCCCTCCCGAGCCCTGCCAGGGGGCCAGATACTCACCCCAGAGCCCAGCTGCATCCCCCACCCAGACACTCACACCCCTTATCCCTACCCCCCAGAGCCCAGCTGTGGGGCTCCCCCTGGCCCAGGCACT